TAGGTCCATGATCTACCTCTAATTATCAGTTTTTAAATAAATGATATGAAGTAGGAATTGAAGTTTAATTTTTTTCATATGAATAGCCAGTGATTCTGATGCTTTTGTTAGTATTTTCAATAGATATGTAATTTTGAGTTGAAAGATTTTTTTTTGTATTTTAGCTCTTTAAAGATGCCCTTCATTTTTTTCCTGCAGAAAATTATTTATAATGTGAATTGGCAGCTTTTTAAATTATTATTGTTCTTTTTATATATGTCTCATTTAATTGTGGTACGGTGGATTGAACTCAAGGTGCTGAACTACTGAGCTACACTCACAGCCCTTTCTATTTTTAAGACATGGTCTCATTAAGTTTCCCAGACTGGCCTCAAACTTGTGATCTTCCTGCCTCAGCGACTCATGTAGCCAGGATAGCAATCATGCACTGCTATGTCCTGCTCTCATTTCTTTTTCTTTGGGAGATTTTGAGGTTTTCTCATCATCGCTTTGTTTTGAACAATTGAACTATGAGAGCCTTAGGTATGGTTTTATTCATATGTATCTTAGTTTATTAAACTTATTGGTTCTCTAAGTTTATGTTTATTATTAAATCAAAAAATGTTCAGCTTTTGTTTCTTCAAATATATTTTCCTATAACTCATAGTATTTTCTCTTTACTCTTGCAGTAAAATTTATGATATACAACTCAGTAGTTACCCCTCAGGTAACCAAGCTTCTCATTTAATTTCATTCCTTTTAAAATCTGAGTTTGGATAGTTTCTAGTGACTACATATAATTTCTTTTGTGACATCTAAGTTGTAGCATTTTTAATTTCAGAAATGCATATTTCCATTTCTCTATTGTAATATTGATATTTCCTATTCTTGCATCATGATAGTCAAGATACCTCTTGCTTTTAATTCAGCAGACAAATTTTAATATACATTTCAATGTATTTACTGGCAATTGCAGTATCTTTGCCAATTTTGGTTCTATTTATACTGGATAATTTTTTTCTGAATATGGATCACATATTTTTCTCTTTATCCTATTATTTTTTGTCATGTGGTGGACATTTTAGATGCTGTATCACTGAATCTCTGGGTTTTATTAGAATGTTGAGTTTTGTTCTAGCAGGTAGTTAATTTGCTTGCATAGGCATTTGCATATTTATTTGTCTTAAGTCACTTTCCATATCTGCATTAGAATAGTCAAAAAATAAATAGCCTTTTCTGTAGGGCTGCATGGGACCTACTTCTAAGACTCAGCTTTCTGTGGCATCTTTGTAGCTAAATGAAGTTTCTGACCTCTAAGTGGCCTAAACTCAGCTCTTGTCCAGCTCTGCAGAGCTCCAAGTATTGTGCAGTTTCTAGCTGCTATTTGCCTGACCATGTAAAGTACCACCCTAAATATGCTTCACTTTGATTTGGCCAAAGACTCAAGGTAACCCCATGTGTTTGCTAGGGTTACTTTTCTACTCTACTCCATTGCTAGTGTTCTCTTCTCTCTGGTACTCAGGCCTATAAATACATGCCAACTATTCTTGAACTCTAATTTCTTTGAATTCAGTGTAACCTCTGCCCTCTTCTGGCTTTCCTCTCTCTGTTCCACAACCCAGTTTTGAGTTCAGGATCCCAAACTCGGGTTGTTAATCCTGCTGCAGGTACAGCCTGGGACACAGCGTATGAAATGATTATCAGGTACTCTAGTACTTGCTTCATGAATAGTGGCCTATTAAAAGAAGAAAACTTAAAAGTTAAGATTAAGCCCATGATCCAGGCTTACTCTTCTTTTGTCCCTTTTCCCCATAAGATAACAGTGGATAAGAGAGAAAGGATCCCCATAGATTGCACTATTAGTTGTCCAATTTTGAAAAACCTTTTGTTTTGTATAAGGAAGGCTATTCTACTATCAATTACTCCTCAAAGGACAGAAGCTGAAATTCAAAATACATAAACTTTAACAAACTGCAATAGCCAAATCAAACCATCTGCAGATCAAGTCCATCTTAAGTCTTTGCTTTACCGTTATTTAAATAGAGAATTCTCTGTTTGCAATTGAGGAAAAAAATGGTCATTACCAGTTTCAAAAACTATCAAGAAATTCCATAAGTTTATCAAAGGGTGACCATAGATTCTGTGGTCCCTTGGAATCTGAGTAGGTGGCATTTGCTTGAAGGACTCAATAGATAGCAAGTTTCCAGTTACAATAAGGATGAAATTTGGAGTTTGGAGACATTTTTTTACTGTAGAATTGCAAAAAATGAATGGAGGAAATTTGGATTCAGGAATAATAAGAAGCAAATGGCTACATCCTGAGTTAGATTATTATTGAAATCAATGAGGGAAGCAGTTCAGGAGTCCAATTTGGCCAAATTTCATCACCCCTTTCTGATTGGAAATCCTTTAGTCTGAGAGTGCATAAGGGTAAAATAATTATGTCAAAATGCCAGAGGTTGCAGCTGGGGCAGATAGAACATGTGAGCAGAGTGTCACCCTTTCCCGGTAAACCAGCACAGCTCCACATGAAAGCCTTGTAGGGCATCCCTTGCACTGACCCAAGCCATTTAGAAAATCAGGCTGGTGGGGAATATTTTAAGAGTTCAATTAGTTAAGTAGCATTAGGGTCTCCTTTTTAGCAAGATGACTGCACAAAATTATCCATAAATATGACATGTGTGATTGTATGACACAAAACAAAATTTAAAGGCTCATTAGAAAAAAATATATAGTAGTAAAATGAATGCGATAGAAATTTAAGAGGGTAATTGATCTTTTGGTCATTAAGCAAGACCTCTATCGACGGTTAGAAAAATCCATTTCAGGTAAGTGTAGCTAGTGACCTTTCCTCCTCCTCCCCTGGATGGACATTTTAGAGAGCCAAAATAACTCAGCAAATAATGCAAATAACAGTGGGACCTACCCTGGCGTGCTATTAACATAACACGTACTCGGAAATATCAAGGACACAACAATTTTTTGTGCCAGCTACCTGAATTAATCTTAGCAAATCCTCAGTAACAACACTTCTGGCATTTTATGGTGGGATTTTCTTCTTTTAATAGGCCACTATTCATGAAGCAAGTACTAGAGTTCCTGATAATCATTTCATATGCTGCGTCCCAGGCTGTACCTGCAGCAGGATTAACAACCTGAGTTTGGGATCCAGAACTCGAAACTCTACAATTGACCCTTTAATTAGAAAAGTTTGGACTCAATTCCACTGATTACCTTTTTTTTTTTTTTGGATAGAAAACTGTTTTAAAAGGAATCGCTCCCCCTTATATATGACCAATAATTGAACTCATGGCAATATTAGGCAAAGATCCCTGCCCTTTGAAGTGAGAATTGCTCCATGGTGATGTTGGAGCATTCAACCATGGAGCCACATCCCCAGCCCTATTTTGTATTTTATTTGGAGACAGGGTCTCACTGAATTGCTTAGCCTCACTTTTTGCTGGGGCTAGCTTTGAACTCATCCCTCACTACAATGACTAATAGACCTCCCTTGCCTCAGCCTCGTCCCCTGGTCAACTCTATCACATACCTTTTTTTTTTTTTTTCTTTTTGGCATTGATCACTACTCAAAATTAACGCAGATTTATTTCCTTTTATTTTATTTCCTTTTTACTTTTCTGCATTAGGATATTATCTCCCAAAGTACAGAGATCCTTTCTTTCTTATCCACTGTTCTGCCCCCCAAAGGCTGTGGCAAACAGTACATGTTAATAAGTAACTGTCAAATCAACAGTTACCTAAGTTAAGCCCTTCTGTTTCAGATTCAGCAAATGTTCTATTCCTTCCTCAGACTCTTTAGCTAGTTACCACAAGCAACCAAAGGGAAGTTTCTGATACATAGTACAGTGTGAGAATTATTTAAATATTTAAGTAGGATGGATGAAAAGATGGTCCCCACCTGGAAAACTGGGAATGTACAGATTAGGGGAAGTGAGAGGGAGTGGAGAAGCAGGCCTATAAGATAAATCACATTATATAAATAAAAACACTGTAAAAAATTATAAACAGAGAAGAGTGGAGATTTCTACAGGCAGAGCTCAGCTTGAAAAAAAAAAAGGGTTTTATCTTTCAAAATAATGGCATTTTGAACATTGACCTTAAAAACTAAAACAGGGAAAGCACTGTTCCAATCAGAAATTCTTGCATGACCAAGGCATTTTGTGACGTCTTCTTGAGTTTTGTGAGGAAAGGGCAGTGGTCAACAAGACAGGAAGGTTGTCTGCTGTGACCAGTGATTCAGTTCTAAAAGGCTTGGTTTCCAGGGCTGATGAGTTATAGCCAGTTTTAGGTTAATTGGGAATTATCTCACTCTATTTCTTATTAAAAAAAAAAAAGCAGACATGGTGTCTATGGCATAAAAGTAAGCAGGTTATGTGGAAATCTGTCCATAACCACATATTGCAAGTCAGACTTCAGAGTGTGTATCCCAGAACTGTGGACATGGGAGATGCTTCTGGCGCAAGCACACTAAGCATTTTGGATAAAAGCCCTCTGTTTCTGCCAACTGCAAATAAGATTTTTGAAGCCTCTTTGCAAATAAAGGAAAAGGAACTAAATTCCTTCTCCATGACAGTCTACCAATATCATGGGCTTTTCCAGGTAGGACATTTAAGACTCCATTCCAGAGACAACCAATCAGAGGGTAGAGGGACACTGTTCAAAAATGTTTTGAGTTGATGTATGGGTCGGATTGTGAGTTTAATTAGATAGCTTTCTGAATCCTGCCCAATGTTAAGATTCTGTTTTAGTTTGTTTATCATCAAAGTTCGAATCAACTGATAGCTAAAAGCACCTTCTATGCTACAAACAAAACACAGTAAAATGAATATGAGACAATCTAGTATTATGAAATAGAGTCTAAAGTCTACAGTGTTATCTCTGTTTATTCAAACATGTAAGTCAGGTGCAGGGTTTAGCCGCTGGGCTTATCCAGCTTTGCAACATGATGGGCCACTGTGATTACCACATAGAAATTCCTTCTGGTTTGTTATTTATTCCAGTGGTAGCTCCAAGATACACAGTAGAGCTGGCATGTGGTTTTGGAGCCACGGTCCTGCTGGTGGTGATTCTCATTGTTGTTTACCATGTCTACTGGCTGGAGATGGTCCTCTTCTACCGGGCTCATTTTGGAACAGATGAGACCATTCTAGGTAAGTGATGAAAGTTTGATGTAAACCTTTTCTATTGTCGTCTTTAGAAAACATATTCATTTGATAAAACCTAGGTTAACTAGACGATTTAAGCACATTACCACGTATTCCAGTCTTTACTATTAAAAACTCTTTCCAATGTGTAGTAGTCTCCTTTCTTAGATCAATATGTGATTTAGTGTGAGATCAGTAATGTCCAAATAGGAAGTATAAAGCGAGCCACATAGGAGATTAAAAATATTCTAGTGGCCAAATTAGAAAAAGTAAAAAGAAACAAGTAAAAATAATGCTTAGACTCAGTGTGTTCATATTATTTCAGCATGTAATTGATACACGTTTGAGATATTTGGCATTTTTTACACTAAAATTTCAAAATTCAGAATGTGTTATATTTTACACTCATAACATATTTCAGTTTAGACCAGATGCATTTCAAGTGCCTGATAGAAATGTGATTTGTGGCAACTGTGCTGGCTTGTCCAGGTCCACACTCTGTACTCAAGGGTGATCCATGCACCAGCAGCATCAGAATCACCTGAGAGCCTATTAGAAAGAGACTCATAGTCCTAACCCTTATAGAATCAGAATCTACATTTTAATAACACTCCCAAATGATTTGTATACACATTAAAATTTAAGGAGCACTGCTCCATTGCAAAAACTCTGCCCAGAAATAAGAATGAAACATTTAAACATGCAGATACTTAGGTCCACCCCATGAGGATTCTAATTTGACAGGCTTTTGGAAGAGGCACATAATTTGCATTTCAATGACTCATTATTTTTATAATTATACAACTTTGGGAAAGATTAATCCTTGAATCTAAATATATTTTTAATTATAGTTCATTTCAGGTATATTTTGGACAGTTTCAAAAAGTTTCAATTTATAACTCTAATATATAAATGAATGATGTATCAAGAAAAGGAGTAGAAATTCTCTACATTAATTAACTTCTGGCACCTACAATTTATGTCCATGTTATGTTTTAATCTACAGTTGAATAGGCTAAACCTTTCTCTTTCTCCACCATAGACTCAACTAACTAAGATGTAAACAGAAGACACATTGAATAAAAATTTAAATTCAAGTAGCTATTTTGCCTGGGAAGTACCACATGGAAAATCACATTAGCATCTATCACATAATGTATACATGCAAAAATAAAAATGTCCCACATGCAGAAGTTAGATTTAAGAATAAAGGTCTTACTTTTGATAAACTTTTCTAACTGATATGGAATCTGTGTTGCTTTTGCTAGATGGGAAGGAGTATGATATTTATGTATCCTACGCAAGGAATGCTGAAGAAGAGGAATTTGTGTTATTGACCCTCCGTGGAGTTTTGGAGAATGAATTTGGATACAAGTTGTGCATCTTTGACCGAGACAGTCTGCCTGGGGGAAGTAGGTATTTCACAGGAGTACAAATGATGTTACCCTTGAAAGGCAAAGGGATTCTTAGCTTTAGATTGTGTGATAGAGTCATAGTTCTATATTGGATATTTAATGTCCAATTCCTTGATGTAATAGAGACTTCTCCAGAAATAATACTATATTGTAAGATTTACACTATTCAACTTGTTTAGGGTATTAAAAATATTTTTCCTGGTTATCTTTAACAACTCCATTTCAGAAACATAGATCCACAGTGGAGTTAAACTATATCAAAGTGCCACAGCTTTAAAAGTCCTTTAAATTCATATTTAGATTTTTAGAAAGTTTATACAAATCTGCATTGGTTTTCTAAGAATGTTTTGTTTTTGTTTTTTTACAAAGACTGAGTAAAATTAAAACGTTGTTTTTATAAAGATTGAGGTTTACTTAGTTTTACTAAGACTGAGTTACAGATTAGGGTGCATAGAATTTTCCCTTTCTTTTGTTCACTGACAATAGAATATTTTCCTTTGGCACTTGGCCATTTCCTTTTCTTTGCTTTTGCTTTCTAGCAAACTTGTACTACTCAAATTCTTTTTTTTCCTTGGGTCTGCTTCTGTTTTATCAGCTTATACATTTGAGATTTATTTTAAAATTTTACAAGGTATTCTAGTAGGTTTAAAAAAGAAAAGCGGAGATTGCTGAATGTCTTAAAGCAAAAGTATCTTTTCAAGGCTAAACTATAAAACACAAAGCAGTGGTTCACCTGTGTCTTTGTAAAAAACACAAAGTAACATTTATAAACTAAACTCCCTACCTTTGAAATTCACTTGCACTGTCTCTAATCTTAAGCATAACAAACTAATTTTCTTCCTAGAAGATCCTGTTTACATTAATCATTTGTTTAACATGTTTTTGAAAGATGTTATGTGAATCATTGAGACATAAGATAGGCTTAAATATTTTTCTCATTTTGAATTAAATAGATCTGCTATCTTATTTACCTAATCATCATACAAAAGCTTATCATATTTGCCTTCAGAAGATATCTCTTTCAGTATAACTTTCCCAGGAAATGATAAATTAATCATATGGTTAAAGGATAAATTCTGTTCATTTTAATACTTAATTCCCCCATATCACACTCACCCATTTATCCTTTCATACAGCCATTCCATCAATACTTTCTGTGTGAAAAGTTAAGGGAAAATATACATATATAACTGGGTAAGACCTTCCAATAGGGGTTGATAGTTCTTGGGAGAATTCAAGCTTTCTCTTGCATTACTCTTGCATCTTTCTTCTGATAGATTCTTGTGTCATTTTGTATCACCCTCCCCCCACC